AGGAAAATACTTAGAAATGGAGTTTATTAAGAGGAGAGGACATACTGCTGTTCAGGCGCAGGGCACAACCAGCTGCTTTTACACATGACCAGTCCTTTTTATTCCTTCATCCCTCTGTTTTCACATCCTTGTTTCTTCCCAAAACACAACCAGATCCATCCCTTTTCCCTACCTTTGGTTCCTCCCCTAAACATCCCATAATAGGTCCTGTGTAATCCTGAAATGCTCTTCCTTTGCATCCCATAATGTGTCCCCTACCTCTAGGAAGTCTGAAAGGTGCTCCAGCATTGACTCATCTTGATGGGTTTCTCTCCCAGGCCATGGGGGTGATGATCCCCCAAGACAATCCTGGAAGGGGCCCTTGTCCGAGTCCTTGATTTGGGTTCCTGCCTGCCACTGTGCTCCTGTGCTCCTCTGGGTTTGTAGAGATGGGCTTTTGTTGAGCTGATGGCTCCTGTGATGGGGCTGGGAGCAGCCAGGGCAAGTGTTATTCAGGCTTCTCCACCTGCCAATGTCTCTCTGTGCTACATTGTGGGGTGCAGGCAAGTTTTTATCATATAAACTAACAGAGTTTAACACCATTACTTCTTAAGCCAGCAAACAGGGCAATATTGAGTGAAACAAAGACAATCCAGAAACTAAAGTAGCCTCTCTCTCAGAAACCAGGGTCATCCGGATTCAAAACCGGTTTGCATTTATCAGGCCTCAGCCATTTTTTTTTTCTTTTCTTCAGCATTTCTTCTCACAATGCTTCCACCAGACAAACCTGACACAGAGCCTGGGTAAAGCTGTATAACGCTCCCAAAGCATGTAGTAACTAGATATATCTACCTTGTAAAGATGCAGTTAAAATACAGGAAAACTAAAAGACACCTTGAACCTAGGCATCACCTAGGTGATTCATATCTGGCATCTCAGTTCCATTCAGTTGACTCCTAGTCCTTTGTACTAGACCTGTTGCTGCAGCTTTAACCTCTGAATTTTGTTTTCAGCTCCCACCTGAGCCACAAAATTTTCATGTCCTCAGCTGCTTTGGCACAAAATGGGATCCACAGTCCACGAAAAGTTCTTTAGCCTTCAATGAAGCATGACAGCCTATGTGAGTACAATAACAGGACATTCTGATGCTCACACTTCTTACAGACATACAAAATCTGTAATGGAGTGATTTTTAAAATTATTGTTATTAAAAAAAAAAAAACAACAAACCACAACAAACATATTCTATCTCACTAGAGAAAAAATGGTTCTTCCAGCAATTCTGGGTCCCTTGACCAAACTCCAGAGAGCTGTTTAAAA